AGCACGTTTATATACCTGCTTTGGATGTATGTATTTATAAAAAAATGTTTCAATCTTCCTTAAACTGAAAGAAAAGTACTTAAAAATATCAAAACAAGCTGAGCGACTAATGAAAAATGATCGAGAGCACACATACTAGAACATAGAAGATGAGGTAAGATTTTTTCACAAAATTATTTGARCGTTTGATGAAGGTTAATCCTGACAGAGGAGGATACCTTTAAGATAGCTGTAAACAGCTGTAGACGCGAGTGCAGCTGGCAGTGTACAAAAGCGAAGTGCGACAGCAACAATAAACATGGCAAGGCATAGAAGGAAAATCGAACAATTTAAGAAGCAATGTAAGACACAAATTAAAGTAAAACAAAAAAACATAAACATAGGTGAATGTGSCAAGCAACGGAAGGGAAGCAACTACACATGCACAAGGACAATTTATGAACGCACTTGAGCGCTATAATAAAGACGTGGGGAATACACACACATATATACATACATACATATGTGCAAATGTGTGGCATTAAAAACTAAGGTAACCACTGAAAAAATAAAATCGGAAGAAAGAATCCCTTTGCCAAACAGCTGTCCTTATGCTATACGCAATTCGCCTTCGGTACACGTCGATCAATTGTTGACAGCATGCAGCTGGTGGCTGCGGGCCAAGCCGAAATTAAAAATAAAAAAAAAAAAAATCCAAAAAGGGAGCACACAGCAACCCTTATGCTGTTTTTCTTTAACCCGCATAAAAAAATATTATATTTATCTTCAAGATTATAGACTAGAAAGTGGCGGTAATTGGTGGAGAAAAATACAAGTTCCCCCTTAAYCGAACGAAAAATAGCAGCAGAACCGAAAATAAAAACAGGTGGAGTTAAAYAATGGCATAAATAGCGCACGTAGAGTTCAATGCAACTGTCGGATATGAGCGCTATAGACATGTGGCACTTTGCAGCGCAGGTGTTGCAAGCATTTTATCTAAGGTAATGTGTATTAGGTAAATGGCATGTAGTTGTGGTTAGTATTGACAGTGCAAAAAACTAAAAAATAATAAAAATAAATACATATAAAAATTGTCTAAAGCCAAGAAATAAATAACAAATAATGAAATATTATAAGTAGTTGATCAACGTRGCAAAAACACGCCGCATTAGCAAGCAGCCCTTAGCGCATTCAAGCGCAAATAAATCAGTTGGGATACTTATACCGCTACCGTGCGTATTATACAATAATGGATTTGTTCCACTTTTTTACTCTTGAGGAAGTTTTTTTTTTTTTTTTTGTTATTTCTCCTCAATTCCCAGCGGTAGCGCTGATATAATACGAAAATTTAGTTCAATGTGCCAGTTGGTTTGAGAAATAAGAAAAAAATTCGACTATTAATTCGAAGGCTTAACGCTGATTGGGGCGTATATGGACCATAATTGAAGCAGACTTAGATTGCTAATACTGCACGCACATATGTACATACAAATGATGGCTTTGTAAATGTGCAGCTAGCCAGTTCGGTTAACGCGCTGCTAGCTTATTGCTGCTTGCTTTGCAGCATTTCAAGCGGGAAATACCCGTTTTGCGATATGTATGAAGCTGTATTGTTTACCTATTAGTCATGAGCAATTACTKAAAAACTTAATTTGGAATTGAACGGATTTCGTAACAGTTCAACTGTAAATTAAAATAACAGAAAAACTAAAAAAAATTATAGGAGAATTCAAGAAGACATAATGATTTCATCAATAGAGGCTTTAGTAGTGTAAATATTGAAACTGGGATTTAATATTATTTAATATTAGTTGGAAATGTGTGTAATTGTGGAATAATTATTCCACTCTCGTTAGGTACACATTTTAATCTGTAAACCTCAGCCCTTAATCAAATTGGAAAATCCAAACCGCAGAGCGTGTGTTTATATTTTTTTCTGAATTGTGAAATTTTGCTTATGTTTATTACATATATTATATAAGCAAAATTTCACCAGCGGTTATTTTTTATTAGAATGTGTGGATTATAAAAGTGCTCTAGAAATACCAAATACTCATGCCTAAAAACTTGGGAGCTCGAATTGACAGCAATTGATTTTGTATAATAAAATTGAATACGGACAAATATTTTTCAATTAATTATAGAAACTAAATATCAAGTATGTGAGGCTTTTTTATTTAAAAGCTTGATTTTTATATGTAGATTTAAATATCTCTTCACATATTACRTTAGCTGCGCGACTAAGTTGTCGGGGTTTTTTGTAATGAAAATATAATTTTCTTGTAAGGAAAAGGTTACAAATGAATTATTCGAAGTATAATTATACCATCGCTAAACACAATTTTTTCCGATCTTTCTGGCAAAGTTCGCATACCATTACGATAAAACTGTTCATCTTCTGATGCTATCTAAAAATCAAACCATTTTTCGATGTCGTCTTGTGAGTGGAACTGCTTCTGAACCATACCTTGTGCCAACGAATGGTACAARTAATAATCGGACGGTGCAATATCTGGGTAATATGGCGGCTGGGGTTTTAACGGGCTTGCCAAAGTGAGGCCGAGCGTTATCATGCAGCAGAATCACGTTTGCGTGCTTCTCCTGGTATTGAGGTCATAAGGAACCCAAGTTCCTTGTTTCTCGATCATACCCAGCGCATGTAGTCGCTTTGGAATGGCTTGGCGGGTGATTCCGAATGCTGAAGTAAGCTCTTCTTGCGTTTGACACGTATTCGCATCGAGTAACGTCTTCAATTCTTCGAAGATTTTTTGCATTTCCTTACGAAACCAATCACGACACGTGGTTTCACTTGAGGCAGTGACTCCGTAAACTTTTAGAAGTTTCCGATGCGCTTTATCCGTCGATTTCTTTGATTGAATGAAGAAAAACAAAACTTCTCGCTGATCATGTGGCAAAAAGTCGGACATATTCGCATAAACAAAAGTATTTGGCGCATAAACAATTTATTTTTCATATGTCTAGGTTAAGTTTATCACCTTTTGGTTATATTAAAATCGAACAACACAAACTGCTGGAGTCATRTATTGACCAAGAGCGGAAACTTAGTTGCGCACCTAATATTACAAATGTAATTGGTATTCCAGCTCCTAGATATTATTCTACTGTCTGCCTTTAGAAAATAAAACCGATAATCTAACGAAAGTTAGGCTACAAAGCTTGTAACTTTTTAAATTAGTAAGAGCTCTTACAGAAGAAGCAGAGGAAGAGAAAGACCTCCACTCCCTTGGTAAGCCCAGGCGGAAAAGGACCCGACTTCGCTTGGAATCTCCAATTGGCGCCAGCCAAGCAGTCACTTTTCACATAGCTTTCAACAGCTTTGAAGAATATAACTTAGATATATTCTGAATTGGAATTTACTTTCGCTAAGCTGTGTAGTTCATCACACACCTTAAACATAAATTTTTTTTTTCAAGGATTTAAAAATAGAAACTAAGTGTATTGAATTTCTTTTCATGTCTCTATTTTATAAGTTTAGCACGATACGCTCAGTGTAAAGATTTCTGTTTGCTTCTGCAAGTATCAGGTATCCCAAGGTGAGTGAAAAATGCTTCAAGCAAATTCCTGGCATTCATMAAAAGCCAATAATAAACGTGGGAATATTTTTCGCATCCTTAAACGACATAAATGAACACGTACAAAAAACACCTCAAGCATTGAATTACACAGCAAAAGCAAGGGTGTATATATTGTATGTATGTATGTAATTTAACGTAACATTTTGATTGTTGTGAAAAGGGACATATTCTCGAGACATTTACACAAACAATTAAACATAAATAGAATCCGGCTTTAGCCTATGTTTATTTCAAATATTTGCATAATACTTAAACGGTTTGATTTTCGCGGCAATAAAAAGAAACTTCGTATATACGTTAAGCRCAAAAGCAAAGAACCGCGCGAACACGAGGACGAGGAGCGSGACACAACRGGATATCCTGCCTGGTTTTCGCGCTTGACGCCGCACACAGAACACTCCCAACGAGGTATAAACGAAGTAAAGTTTTGTGTGAGCGAAAAGCGCGAAAAAGCGACAGGATGGAACAGCTGCCGACCGCCGTCAGAAACGGCCGACGGTGTAGACGAAACCACCCCTTTCGTGAAATATTTTACAATTAATATTAAAATATTTTTTAGGCGATTTTTCGAGGCTGAAGAAAATCTCGACAATAAATTTATATATGTAAGTAGGTACATGGGTGTGCATGTGTGTGTTTTTATAAAAATGTAAAACGTGTAGTTGGGAGCATTTGAAGCACGTGGGAAACGTATGCAAATGAAAAATAAATAGATGAAAAAGTGGAATTCAAATAATAAAGGAAATAATATGAAGAGAAAAAAAAAACAATTATGACTTTGCTGTCGTCGATGACGAAGCCAACTAATTGCGTAATGGCGGTGCTGTTGGTGACGTTGCAGCGAGAGAAAAAGCAGCACGACGGCGGTGCTGTTGCCGATTATGGCAACGATTGGCGGTGGTGGTGGGTGTGTGAGGTAAGCAGGCGATTATGGTGCCGTTGACCGGCAATAAGACTACACACAACGCCGACAAAGTAATACAAACAAACACATATTGCATATAGACGGAGAGAGAGGCAAAGCTGGTCATACAAATTTATATGCGRCACGGCATTTGTTGACAGGCGCACAGCAAATATGACGGTCTAAGCGRCAGATATGTATCTGTATAGATATATACATACAAACATATGTATACTGGATGCATAGGTGTATGCAAGTTTGTTGTTTATTTAGCACACGATAGGCGCCGACGACTCTTGCAATCGAAACATTTATTTACAACAATTCTTGCCATATACATATGTGTTAAAGCCAATTACATATGGACATAATCATGTATACAACATGTAGGGGCACAAGTAACTCCATATGTGTTTTGGTTTCTAACTACATTTCACATTATATGGTTATATTTACATATCTATATTATATATATGGTATGTACATATTTAGACAAAAATATAAGTGTGTTTTATTATTACCCCGGAAAGCAGGAAACGTATTTTCAAATTGTGCGGATATGACAACGCCGTTGCCGTAGTTGCCGTCACTACGCTGGCGTTACTGCTCACCGCTGACACTACGCTGCAGCAGGGCGATGAAGAGGCGGGTGACACGGCAATATATTCATTTGATATTGTCGCTGATAAAAACGATGACGCCGATGAGGAGGGCGATGACGATGCTGAGGTAGAGTGATTCAGATGCGCATGCTGGTGATGATGATTGTTGTGATGATGATGTTCGCCATCATCACGTTCGCGATCACGATGACGTCGATGATGATGACGTTCACCATCACGCTCGCGACGATGGTGCTTTTCGCTACGTCGTTCCTTATCACGCTTATCGCGTTTCTTCTTCTTGCTCTTGCGATGCTCCTTGTACTCGTGCACTTCAATGTGATTGTTATTGCTCTCCGCATCCATTGCCTCGGTGTGTGCTTCGTCCATTTTCACAACTGTGAAGGTGGCCGCAATCGCGGGTACATCACCTGCCCGCGGACTGTCGAGTGGACCGGCTTGTTCGCCGCTTGTCGTATCCATCATCATCATTTTGATGTAGTGTTACTTTTTTTTTTTTTTGTTACACTTCGACAACAACAAAAAGTTGTTTTATATAAATAAACAAATATCTGTATATAAATCGGTGGTTTAGAATTTTTCGGAGGTAGCTATGTGCGTGCATATGCGCGTTCGAGTGTGTGTGTTGAAGGCGGCGGAGTTGTTGACTTTGCGCTGAGGAACGCAGTCTTAGTGTGATTTTGGCTACTTTTTTTGAATCACAGCGGTAAATAAATGTCGATTTGAGTATTTACTATGTACGTCTGTATGCGTGTGCGTGTGGTACGCGCGTCGAGTCAACGTTGTTTGCTCCACCGTTGTTGGCTTCCTGTGCGTTTTTAACGTGTTCAACGTTTTTGCTGTTGTTTCGTCTTCACTTCTTGCAGCGTTTTGCTATCAATTATGCTTTGGATACACACGTTTTTAAAGTAATTGTATTTGTTATTTGTTGTAAWTTTTATTATTGTGCGAACGTGTGTGTGCGTTTTAGACCTTTTCTTGGGAATGCTTTGTGTGGTCGTTACCTTCTCGTCGCACTTTTTAGCCAAATAGCTATTCTTCTTATACACTTTTTCAGTTTTTCCTGATTCTACACTGTTTCGAGCAGTGCTCGCGGCTAGTTGGCTGCTTCGTAAGCTAACCGTTGCTYAATTCACTTTTGCCGTCTTCCACTTCTTGAACACAAACACTAGCATAGCTCACCTGTAGAGTTGCGGTGTGCGAGATTTTTGCTTTCTTGAGAACAGGCGAACTTCTTTTATTATTAGCTTCACTTATTTCATTGTCTTGTTGCTACACTTTATCCATAAAGCTTCTTTGTATATTTATATATGTACGGTTTTACGCTTGCAGCTGTGTTAGTTAAACGCTTATTCATTTGCTGTTTTTGTCAATATTTTTTTTATATAATATTTACATAGACACCGGTGTGATCTTTYATTTTGTTATTTCTTTGAGTTGACTTGCTTTGGCTCAGGTAGCTTTCTTTGCTAAAATTAACAGCACTTTTTTATATTTTTGTATATTTCTTCACAAAAAATTATATAATGAAAACATGTTTTTTGTCTACTRCCAACTTGTTTCTATGCGGGATTGGAGGGGGAGTATTCTTATTACTTTCCATGTGTTGCTTTTGTTGTTCACTGTGTTGGTAAATAAATAATATTTACTATTGTATAAAATTGTTATCAGCATGACGCGTACGAAGTATACTTTTCTGCCGAAATTTAAAACACTTGAGCCAGTTTGGGCAATTTGTTAAGCAACAACAATTAAGTGCTTTTTAACACGTTGGCTTTTGCTCAGAAAAACTGGACCAATTTAAGCTGACAGACCGTATTTAACTAAAAGCCAACCAATAACCAATGGTTATGAGTTATTTAAAAAAGGTGTTGCTATTACAACAACAAAGCTTAAAATCGCGTGCCTCGCAGTATGGTTTTTTGACTTTTTCCCCCCATGTGCAGTTAAAAGCTGCAACCAAGCCAAAAACGTAAGAAAAAATAATTACATTCTAAAGGTAAAAATCACAAATAATTGCTCCGATGCGGTCAAAGCAATTTAAGCTCGTTTTTTTGTATATTTCTTTGCCGCCGTCGAATAATCACGCAGATATGCACAAATTAAATACCAAAAACGTTTCGAAACACGAATTATGTAAAAAAAAAAAATCTGCACTCGTCTGTATTCACTGCAATGCGGACAAAGCGGCTCAAATGCAACACGGCAACGATAATTTGCTGCCTATTTTGGCTGCCTGTCTGCCACACCGAACGCGACGGCGACTATTTGCTGCAATACACGGTTGTACCCGACGTGCAGACAGATGTATCCGCGCTGTTACCAGAATCCACAGGAAGGCCAGCGCGCCGACGAAAGACCAAACAAAAGCGAGACGACAAAAACCCGGCCGACGAAGCAAAATTTACAATAACAAAATAAAACAAAAAGTGTTTGAACACACACAAAACACACGTCGAGTCGAACGCTATATTAAACAAAAACACTTTGTATAACAAACATACGCGAATGAATTACACCGACCCAGCGACCGGCTGACACTTTGACTTCAGTCACTGACTAACCAACAAACCGGCTGACTATTCGCCTATATCTGGATGTGGCTTGCGGCTGCCTGGCTGCCTGCTTGCTGCAGTCGAGGTAAAGTTGCATATACACACACACACATATATATACACTGTAATCTCCTAGAAACTATAGTGCACACAATATGTACTCGTATGWGCTGCTACACAGCAAATGCCGCGATAATAAAATTTTGCTTATTTGTTGTTGCTATTGATGCAACAGTGCAAGCACAGGCAGTAGCAGTGGCAGCACAGACGCTAGCTGGCAATAACATTTATTAAACACATTTACTAACCGTACATTGAAACGARTGGCGTGAACGCTAAGACCGAACGGTTAATACTGACTACACGCCAGCGTTGGGATTCGCTCAGAAGGTCGGTCGGTCGGTTGGTTGGTCTATCGGCTGTGTTGTGCTCACATCATCTCAACAAAACATTAGGCTTGCCTGTGCCCGCATTGATCTGCCTATCGTTAAACTAGCCATTGTACCTTTGCGCTCAGCTATACGAACTGTAAATCCACTCAGCAAACTCAGCCGCCCTTCATTCTTCATGTTGCCTGGTTGTGTTCTTTAGATGCGTTCTCTGTGTGACTAGGTCTCTGGCTCTTTTTGCGCTCTCTGTGMTACACACTCACCAGCCCAGCAGCAATCAACCACATATGCACACCGGTTATGTTATGTTGAGTTACCGATTACCGGCTGATGAACGGCCTGTTGTTGTTTAGAGTAAACACGACGTAAAGACACACACACGCAGTCATAAATGTTCGGTGATTCGTGGTGTTTGCAGTTGGTCGTGATATAACAAAGGTGGCACTGTTGGCAGCCAGCTACTCTTTGCCACACTCCTCGGCGTAATYCACCATTGCAGCAGCGTACGGTACGTACCTTGTACCTTATCCTGTTGTTGTGTAGAAGTTCATTCGCACTCGCATGGTTAAATTTATAGGTTTGTTTTATGTTGCGGTTGACTCTTTTATTTTCTCTATGTTGTGTTTGTTGTTGATATCATATATTGATGTTTTAGTGTTGTTARCGCGCACACACACATATATTGAGTTGTAAGTATATTTTATAAATTTGTTAGSAGGCTCCTATGGAGTTTGATGACGGCGACAACGTCGGCGCGCCTGTGTGGGGAAAAGAGTTTCCGATTGAGGTGGGTAGACAGGGAAAGAGTSTAAGGTTAGCGACTCGTTTGGTTTCAGCACAATTTTCGATTGTTCCTTACAATGTTGTGAAGCGCGTTAAGTCATATAGCACACAGCATACATATATATATGTATATACGAACTTTCAGGTATAAATGTAGGTTTGTGTGTGTAAAATAGCTTTTTGGTTCWTTGTTTTGTTTACTGTTTCTATTATAGCTGGCTTGCGTTCAGTTGAAGTGTCTTTTACCGCTTCACCAACTACTCGGAATAATTTACATACACAAATACAGTGCTTGGAATAAACAGAGAATAAAACACCAAGGRCTGCTTCCACAATATCTGATTAACAGCCATTTGTCAGTTAAGTTCTAGTTGAAACAAGGTTCTTAGCAAAAGAASAAGTCTTGGTTAAGTTAACCACGACTTAACTGACAGATGGCTACCAACCAGATATTAAGAGAACGGCCTATAGTTGTATAATACGCTTAAAGTAAAGTTTTACCTAAACCCGAAGAATTGGTGCGAGAGAAGTTGATTTCATTCACACGTGAAATATAGTAGTATACACAATATTTATAGAACTTGCTCAGATTTATTGATTGAAAACACGATAGAAGTTCTCAAGTTCACACTCGATCATTGAAAATTTTGATATAAACTTACAGAATATAGAGTTCTAATAAGTTATAAAGCATACTTTTAGGCGCTTCCACACTGATTTTGTTAAGGCATCACTAGTGATCACATTAATAATCGCGCCATTGTCAATATGSAAAAATCCATAAGTTAAAATCAACACGTTGACTGCCACACTCTATGAATATTGCTGACAGTTGTCTTCTAGCGCTTATCGCGATATGACKAGTAGACGACCGGCTGACTCATGGTCGCTTGTTTATTGCAAGTCTAACGAAAGCAAATACATACGTTCGCCCGSCTCAGTTAGACACAAGAAAGTCGTTAGACCGATCCAAAGAAAAAAACCAATAAAACAACAAACAAAATTTGATAAAAACCACAAAAAAACAGCTGAAGTTTAGAGCGTACAGTTGTGGTGGAAGGCAATAGAAGTAGCAATATTGAAAGAGTAAATTTGTAAGAGACTAAAGAGCGGGCGTACAATAAAAGAGAGCGCACTTAAACGCAGAGATAAATGTTATGAAATAGAAATATAAAAATAAAATAAAGAAAAAAWTGAATGAAATCGAGAATTGCAATGAAATCGTGTGTAGACGCTCTCAGTGCTTTCCATTTGGTTGATGGTGCTGTAAGAAATGATGGCGTAATAATTTAACAACAACATAGCAACAACAGTGCATTGCAACGTGCATTGAATGCAGTGTGTGTTTATACGTTTGTCGGCATAATAATACCAGGAAGAGGCACAGTGTCAGCGGCCTTTTGTGTGCTATCATCACACCGAAACCTTCTCTATGTGCAGCGGTAGCGCGCTAAAGAACTTACAACGACGACTGCGAAGACTACGATGATACGAAATGATAATAATTTCATGTGTACACATAGTTATATACATATGCTGCTTTGCATGTAAATGTGGGCAATTATGAAGTTAGTGATGGGGAAGACGTTGCCCATGACGATATTGAAAAAAACACTAATACCAACGAGATAATGAAGTTCGGGCCAAAGCTGATTTGGCTGTGAGAATGACTAGGAAAATATTGTGCCTAGAAGATGTACAAAAATAAGAAGGGAAGAACAAAAAGCTAACGTATATAAAAAGTAAATAGAAAGCAGAGTAGAAAACATAATAAACGAARAAGATGTTATAACAAACGCTGTCGATTGCGTACACAAAACACCAGTGCTGGCTAAGAAGGCAGCACAACAAAGGCACGGTAAAAAAAAAAGAAGAAGCTGCTGCCGCCAAGGGCCACCAAAATAGATCAGAGATCAGAGACTGTGACGGCCTGACTGCAGCGTTAGATAGACTAGATAGTTGCATACATATGTAGATGCATGGCGATTCAATGGCATGCTATGGAAAGACGTTCGTATACGTTTAGAGCGCTGGAAAATATGAAAAAGCAAATATTCAAAGAAGGCAATGCAAATATAGATGAAAATTTCAACATTTTAGAGTGAAGCTAAATTTTGATTGCAGACAGGCACAGGGACCTTAGATTGACATGCATAGACAGCCGSAAGATTGTGTCTTTCTATTTATGTTTACTGCCGCATAGATTTACATACATATTTTAGAAACTTGAAAAAAGTAAAAGTCAAAAATATTAGAAGGCAATCATACATATATACATATCACAGTGTATAAGTACAGGCATAAAAATAGATTGCCTGCAAATGTTAACATTTTTTCGACACAAATTCACTTAAGCCATTAAAGCTTAYTACAACGTTTGACAATGTGAGGAAAAAATTGGTTGAATTTTTTTTTTTGGAAAAATAACGGTTTTTTATTTGAAGCCACACGATTCGCTGAAGTCGATGGAAACAGATGTGGAAGCAATTACATTTAAAATTTAAAACAGTATATCGTTTACTGCTTGTTGACGGTCGCCGATTATTCAAAGCTACGAATGAGACAAATTTGATTCAGTTTTTTTTATGATCAATTTAAAAAAAGGCTTCGACTTTAAGRTTGACGTAAGAAACAAGAGCGTGTGCGCTGATTACTTTGCTAAACGACWCATGTCGTGTTTTCTTATCTTTTGCAAATCCACTTTACACAGAATTCATTATCTGGTCTGAGAGCCCTTTGCTCAATACACGTGTTTCTTGGTACTCACAACGTATCATAAAGCATCGTAAAATTTATACTAGTTTAAAAAAATTTTTGTTGTATTGCATACTAAACTAAGTTTACGCAAATACAACTCTGAGCGATATGCATTTGCTTTGCTAAAACTGATYAGCTGCTTTCTATTTACATCAGTTTGCTTTTGTGTTATGGTTGAATTTGTGTTTAAATTAGAATTTCTTTCAATTTACTTTTTCGAGGGTTTTTGGATTAATGTTATAGAGGTAATATATAGGCATATGTATACATATATAATATTTTTATAATATATACAATTTTACTAATTAAATGTGCTTTTAGGCAAAAGGAAAGCGGGTGCGTTCCAACCCAACAAGAAAGTGGCTGTTAGTAGAAGAAAAATCATTGGTTGAATTTTTGACACGAAACATGGATTTTGAATACAACTTAAAAGTAATATATTATAATTTTAATTATAGAATTTTTTATAGATGATTTGCAAAAGTGAAAAACATTGCAGTGCACTGGAAGGTGACAAGGAATGTTCGGTATATGCGTATAACATATAACAAAGTAGTTGCATGTTAGGGCTCGACGGCTGCAGGGAGTATGGAAGGCGAAACTATAAAGTGTAAGATTTTTCCAAACGTTCATTTTCATTTGGTCAAAACAGAAACTTCTCTTTTAACCGCTATATTGCTTTAAATACACGCCTATTTATATTTTGAATAGTCACATACACTCACACCAAAAGGATGCGACCTTTCGTATATAAACAATCCATGCCCGGAAGATCTCAAAATAAATAGCACTATTTTTAATTGTAAATCTAAAGGAAGTTGTGCTCCACTAGAATTTGTGTTAAATACACTGTCGTTCTTTATATAATTTAATATGYGGMGAAATTCGCCGAGCYAAGTCGATGAACACGAACCATTTCATTGAAGCGGCTGTCATAAATGTTCCTAAGTACATTAYGTCGCCATTATCTTAAAATTTTCACTTCTCCTTGACATTTTCACTGCAAAATAMTAATTTTTTTCAAATATTGTATATTTTTTTAATCAACTGTTAAMAAAATGTGTTCATAAACATTTGTGTGTTTTTTTTTTAATTTTAGTTTATGGTTTATAACTTTATGAGACTATATGGAACCCCAAAATATTATGAGTAATATGAAGGTCATATTTAAATAACTAAAAGTTTTGGGTTAGCCAGGTACAAGATTTACGTTTTCAGTATGACAATGGCAAAAGGGAAACGCAGTCATTTCAATTTCCAACTCCAACTTACGTGGTGGTCGCTAGTGACCTTCTCCGCTTCCTACTACCAAATTCACTATTTGGAATAGCTGCAGATGAAGGGTGTGATATGAATTTCAATGAATATTTAAAATGTAAATTACAGTTATACAGAGTGTGAAGAGAATGCCCACAAAACAATCACAAAAATTAATTGTACCTATCAAGAATTAATTCACTTTCAAGTAAGTTTAGACAAAGCTCCTTCCAGCTGTACAAATTATTCACACATTGAACGTGTTACGGAGCAGTGCATTAGACGCACTGGAACAATAGATGAATAACCTTAACGACACGGTAATGCACGTGAGCGCATAGAAAATACAATTTTTTTTTTTAAACAGTAAACTAAAACTGCGAAATCGGCACACAAACGTTGTGTATATGTATTTGTGTTAGAATAGAGGGTTGTTTTGCAGACATCACGTCAATGACTTAACTGACGACTGCCTAATGGGCTGTAGCGCGTTATGGGAATCACGTAGACATTCAGTCARCGCAGTCAACAGTCATCCCGCCATAAGGAAGCAGCCAACAGTTGGCAATAATCAAACCGATCTCCAGGCGACTCTATAGAGAGCGCAGTATTTGCATTCTGGATTCAGCGTATGCATCAGCTTTTCCATACACATACATGCATACACGCGTACGCTTATTGAAGTCGTCGTGCGCCTTACAGGCCAATAGGGGTTGACAAAACTTTCCCAAGTAGATTAAAAGCCAAAGGGCGCTAACAAATCGGAAAAGTACGATAGAAACAAGAAAAAAACGATTGCAGCCAAGCCATAATACCCTCCACAGGTRCATTTCTYATATTAACCACATAATTTTGATCTACCAATTAGTATGGCAACAATRTGCTATAGTCGTACGAGCTGAATTATTTGTTTCGAAATTGTAGCAGTGCCTTGGACAATAATACAGGGTTTGTCCGAAAAGTAATAGAAGTGATTTTCTTCCGCCATGATTGTGCTTCTGAGCGTGCGCTCACCAACAGGATTCGGTAGAGGGCGTTCCTAGCTAACGAASGAGCAGCTGGACAGTTGTCTGCAAGCAGAGACATTTTCGCGCGACGTGTTTCTGTAAGTGATGTAARTCGAAAATGCAGCATTCTTAGAGTAAAGGTTCGCAATTAAATTCTGTGTGAAACTCGGTAAATCTTCGACGGAAACGTTTGATATGATCAAGCAGGCTTTTTCAGATGCAGCTTTAGCAAGAAGTGGTGTGTGTTTCGGTACCCCAGACCTTTTGGGAGGGCCGGGAAGGGTCGCTGATGAATGAGCAAATACAAAGACAACGTCATCCATTAATTTATTCCTTCTGGACAAACCGACAACGCCAAATTTTACACGAGTCTCAAACTCAAAAAAACTTAGGCAAAGGGACATGACTAAATCGACCCAGCCCAACAAACGGATATATACTTTATAGAGTCGCCAATGTTTTGTCCTTAATACTACAAACTTCGTGGTTCTGTTCAGGGTATTAAAAGAAAGATTGTGTGCAATGACTTTGTTTGCGCGTATACATAGATATTTACGTACATATATCACATGGTGTAGTAACATTTAGACAGCATAAGAAGAGCGGTCAGAAGCGAAGAAACAGGATGCAGGATGCCGGAAGCAGGGACTCACACAAATGGCGCGATGTCAAGAGAGTAACAAGGCACACAGCAAGAAAGTGAACAGACGAGCTGGCGAGCAACGCGAAATGAGCACCAGCTAATGCTACTAAAGGGACGCTCCCATAAATTGTATTGCAACGGCAATGTTGTGGTGGTGAAATAAAATCAGGCAGTAATAAGGACACCACGCCATACCACACACTGCTAAGGAGTAGCAGCGCCAACACTATTGTTGTTGTTAAGAACAAAATTTGCTTATTCACTGGTTGAGCAGCTGAAGGCTCAGCCGTGAGCAAGCACAGTTGGCAGCAGTATGCAAAATTGTCGCTGTGGGATGCACAGAAGTAAACGGTTGCGTGCATGTGTGTGTGTGTAAATCAGCTTGCCGCCAGTTATTTCATTGATTGCATGAAAGCAAAAGCAATTGGTTTGTTCCTGATTTGGGCTGATACGGTAACCTTTGACCACAGATTGAGCAGTTATGTGTACGCGTACGAGTGCAAACGCAAACATTTGTCGGTAACGAGTGCGTGTGCGCGTGTGTGTGCGTATTTCTAAGGCAATTTAATTATTTGATGGTTATGGGCGTCTGCCGCACAGGAAGGAAGCTGGAAAACGTGTTTTATTTGCCAAATTCTTGTTGAGATATTTAAATCGAGTCATTGTAATGCAAATGCAAACACATATATGTGTGTTGATGTGTTTGTGTTAGAAGGAACAATGTGGCACGCTGAAATCTTGAAGACGGCTGCAGTAATAGAGAAAATAAAAACAGACAATTTGATAAAGGAACAACGCAACTGCCGATAATCGGCAGGAATCGTGCAAGGAAATCTAATTAAATCGCAAAGCAATAGTTGTAATGAACCGTGAAAGGAAATATCGTTGTGATTGTGTTTTRGTGGTTTGAGTTTTGTAAACAAACATACGTGAAATTGTCGATGTTATTATTTGGGAGCTGTTACACCCATGTCAGTTAATTGCTAATGGAATGAGGCTYAGAACAATGAATTAATGTTGGTTGTTGTTGATTTTATTAGTCTTATGATCTAGTAAGCATCATTGGCATCTGGCTACTGCGGTATTAATTAAAATATGTGTCAACCAAAGCAAGTAAGGAGTGCCTTTTTTAAATACCGTTTCTTAAAAAGTCTTTACCGAAGAAATTAAGAGATCTTAATACTTCCAGTTGGTGTAATTACCAAGAAAGAATCTATACGTAAACGAAATTCGTGCAAGCTAGTCGGCCAAAGATCTAGATTAAACTACAAATATAGATTTCGACATGATCGAGACACGAACTATTGATCTAACGAATTTTTAGACCTTTAAAGTGGCAGATGTTTTTTTTTTTTATTAAACTGAGTTTCCCTGTAGTTTATGAAACGATTGTATAGATATAAGAAACGTCTCACTTTCATGCTTTAACATCGGATAATGATTTCTTATACTTGGAAGTTATAACCAATCGGAATTGTTATCTCGATACATGGAAATTTCAGAACATGTAGTGCATTCGAGGACTGAAAAGTGTAGTTCAGAAGAAGTGGAATGTAGAACCTTGAACGRTATTCGCCAAGATTTGCGATTTAAAGGGCTTGCCAAGTCAGTAAACATGTTAGGCTACGTTAGATTAGTCYGGTGCGCTAATGAGCCACGCATAGATTAGCTTTGGTACTTTTCGATGCCAGATAGAATTTATGAGGTCCATGAGTAGTAGTCCACCTTTAGGATGCCTGCGCTTGTCCGAGTAGACTCTGTGGTCTTACCATCGATACCTCTTCTAGTGTCTTATATCGTGAGGCGCCAAATGCTTAAAGCGTAGCCTTGCCAATGCGGTACAAATGCCCAAGAGATGCTCTATTGTTTGCCTGGTGCCATGCTCGTGACATTTTCTGCAGTCTTCTCGATCTGTCAACCACATTCTGTAGAGGTGTGCCGCCAGCAGACTGTAACTAGTGAGTATTCCGATTATGATCCTGCAGTMCAATCGATCGATTGCTGTAGGCACTGCTTATACTTCCGATCTACTGTTTCATAAATGACTTTTGCAGTTTTGCACCCATGTAGCTCGTTCCATCGTGTTTCGATTTTCCTAACCATGCTTCTGTCCGGATAGTCGGATAGACAATCATGAATMAATTTTTTTCATTCACCTCGAGAATTTTAAAGGAACGATTTTCCTAACCTAAAAAGCGTCGTCACAACATTTGCAGATGAGAACTCAAAACTAGTAAGGAAGATCCGAAACCGAATACGCTGGGTTTGGGACCTGCCACGTGAAAAACGCCCCAATGAAAAGGATAACTCGGCTATAATCGCGTAAGCGGTGTCTACGCCAGTAAAGAAGAAAAAKAAGGTAGGTTGTGATATTGTAAGAAAATCTTAGTAAAAATGCGKTCTGAAGTGGGACACTTTGTCACGAATCAATGCATTGATAAAGTAGAAAAGAATAGAGTTGGAGGTAAGATGTTTTTATAAAGATTTCTATGCGCCCTCAAATATTATTATAAAGCATTTGCTTCGGTGGTGTGAAGCAGGTGCACAAAGGCATGCACTCAGAGTGCATGTTTACACACGTACCGGCGCAAACACACACACTATCTCAGTAGTGGTGGGCGTTTCATGTGTAATCGCTTAAAATTACAATACCAACAGTGACGTTGATGAGACAACATACTACATAAATTTATGCATATACGAGTTCGCATGTGTACATATACATACATGTGTTTGTGGGTGTGTAGGCAGGTGTGCGTCTCCAGGTAAAGAATATTATTCAAGTTTGACTACGTGATTGGCGTAAGTACCGTTGCTGGTTAAATAAATATGGGGAACGTGCTGCACAGCGAAGTAAACAAAAGCGAAGAAAAACGAAGAAGCAATAAAGGAAATGGAAAAATTCAAATAAGGAGAAGAATCACTTAAGCATACACACACAAACTTGCTTCAAGTGTCAAGTGTGGCAAACGCTAACAACCATTTTACGCGGTGAGTCAATCAGATTTGGCCGAAAGAACTTGTGTAAGCAAATTGTGAATTGTAAATGCATTTTGGTATTCGGCTTCCAACAAACGGTTAGACAAA